CTTTGGGAGGAACAGTTGGTGAAAGGGCTGGAGGGAGGCAGCATGTCTGGCCTTGCAGTAATAGGCCTTGGGTTACTGCTGGTAATCCTGTCTTCCTCTTGTGAGATTAGAGGAGGTCAGAAGATGTGGCCTCCTTGTCCTTTTTGTAGCCACTATGCTACCAGAGCTTTAATACCACCTAATATCTAGTCTGGGAGTTCTGATAGCTTAGTGCCAAAGACATCTGATTGCTAACCAGAAGGTTGGTGGTTCAAACCTACCAGACACTCCTTCTAAGAAAAATGGGGCAATCTACTTCTGTAGTGATTCTGTCTCGGAAACCCAAGGAGGGGTTGTTATGAGTTGGATCTGACTGGACGAAAGTGAGTTTGGCTTTGGTTTACTATCTAGTCCATACTCAAATTTCTCTAATTATCTCAAAAATGACTTTTAGTCTGTTCAAATCAGACCCAAACAAGGTCCTCACGTTCCATTTGTTTGTTATATCTCTTAAGTCTCCTTTTAAATTTAGAATAGTCTGCTTTATCCTCCTCTTTTTTTTTAAATATTTTAATGCCATTGACTTGATGAAGAAACCAGACTGTACTTGGTAGGATGTCCCACATTCTGGCTATGTCTAATTGCTTCCTCTTGATGTCATTTTTGTTTGTGTCCATTTCACTTGTTAGGTCTGGAAGTTAGATCTAGAAGATTGATTAGACTCACAGTCAACTTTTTTAACAAGAATACTTTATAGACTGTATTGTGTATCTCACATTGCATTACATCAGAAGGCATATCATTTCTGACTGTTCTAGTTGTACAAATGGTAGGATTGATCAGTAGATTCAGGTGGTGGCTGTTGAGCCTTCTATTTTAAAGTACTCTATCAATCTTTCTCCTAATGGTTTCATTATCCACTGATGATTGTTGCATAGAATTTGTAAGGTTGACTTTGGCAAACTCAAGTTTAAAATTAAGCATACCAATAATTAGTGAATTGCTTCCCCAAGTACACATTAGGCTTCCTTTGGGAAGGATTGTTACTTAGGGTACTTCTCCAAGTCTGGAGAGAAATGAGTAAAATTCAAAATATTACCTAAATGGTGATACTAGTAATACAGTTTTTATATTGATACTTACAGAATTCAATATTTATTATCATCAAACTATCACTTAAACCTAGCACCTTAAGAGTTCCTTCTCCATTTTGGTACTAGACTCCTACCTTTGAATGCTGTTGAGCAACAGTGATGGATGAGATTTACTGATAAACTGATTAGTGAATGAAGATGAGTTTTTTCATTATCTCCTTTACAATTAGCTAGTTCATAGAATTAAGAAAACAAAAATAAAAGAGGAACAAAACTGAAACCAGTCCTTACCTCCTAAATGGTTACATCGCCTCCCACCTACTTCAAAATATAAAAATATAAATGACTATATAGAGAGCTGCACCACTGAATTTACTTGAGAAGTTTTACTTTTGTACTTAAATTTTTACTTACTTAATTTGAAAACATTAGAAAATTATTAGTTTGAAATTAGAGCAGCTAACTCACTTAAACTGGGGACAACAAACTAAAAAAACATATCCAAATGGGTAAAAATAACTCAGGTATAAAAGTACAAATATAATTTACAATATCACGTATTTCAAAAAAGTAAACAAAACACTAATTATCTTTCCTTCAATATATGAAAGATTATATTCACTGCAGAAAGAAAGGCAACTAATGATTTGAGATTAAGATCAAACATACCTGGTATTCACCCCAGCACTGCAAAGAACTTTCCTTTTCACAACATATAGTTAAATTACTTTTCTCTCAGTTATGGTGACTTTACTACATGTTGTTGTTGTTATGTGCTGTCGAGTCAGACCCGACTCATAGCAACCCCTCCTTGGGTTTCTGAGGCAGTATCACTACAGAAGTAGATTGCCCCATCTTCCTTCCGAGGAGTGGCTGGTGGATTTGAACCGCCAGCCTTCTGGTTAGCAGTCAAGTGCCTTAGGCACTATGCTACCAGAGCTCCCAACTTCACTACATAATAGAATCTTATTAAAGCAATTTTCCTGTAGAAAACTATTAGTGAAGCCTATTGATATTTACTATGAAGTTGTTAATTTCATTTATATAGGCCACATAAGTTTAATTGGCACACTTAAGAAAAAAGTAACTAATTCTTTAAAAAAAAAAAAAAAAAAAACTATGATATTATCTGTTTTCGAAGAATAATCCAAGATACTTAATTCTTCAAGCATTTTTCTACCACTTGGCAATCAAACTTTAAAAATAATCACTAAGTGCTGACCGGAGGATTATCGATGCTATATGAAATGTAAACTGTTTGGAAGATTTGTGTTCATTTTACAATATGATATAATTTGTACTGAATTTTTTTTTTTTTTTTTAAAGATAATTATATGCATACAGTTAATCTGCCTCAAAGAACATCTTAGAAATACAATATAAACATTTAAGAACTATGATAGAGTCCACTGTGGTTCAGACTTCAACAAAGATTTCCTTGAAACATAGTACAAAGGTTACTGGCTCAAGGCCATATCCCAAAGTGACATCAGCATGAAATTTGATTGTATGGTTCCACTTCTTTAAAAAAGCGCACACTTGGTTATACATGGCTTTTAACCTTGGGCTACAATTATGCTACAAATTCCCCCCACTGTCCCAGTTTAAAGTCAATCAAGTGGAGATGGGCACATTCTCTGAACACTGTGTAGAGTCCTTGATTTTCCAGCTCTGGTGGAGATCTCGAAGGCGTTCAGAAGTCCGTGTGCTTACATTCAGAGCAGGGTGTACTTTACAAATTCCACTTTCCTCCATTAGTGACAGACCACAAATCCCAAAGTATGCATGTAGAGCATCTGAAAATGAGACATTTTTATTATAATAGGCATTCTTACCTGAACATGCTACAAAATATTTTTGATGCCTATCTACCAGCACATCACTGCATTAAAAATACATTTTGACAAATGCTAAATGTATGTTTAAAAATATTTGTTTTCTTAAAGTCTTGAATAGTATTTTTTTGGTAAACCAGATGATCAAAATCACTTAAGATATTTTATTCATAAAAATATTATTAACAAAGTAAAATGGTCCTAGCTGCAAAGACATTCTCAACATTCTCTGTGATTAAATGACAGGCAGGAAGAGTTAATAAGCTTCTCGCCTTAGTGGGTTTCCCCTCTGCTTATTACAGAATATGGAAACAAATGGTTTAACTATATATCATAAAAGGAAAGTTTTTTCTAGCAACTTTTTCTCCTCAAAAGTTTATCTCTGACAGTTCCTAAAGTGCATACTATATATTAGCACTGTGTTAAATGTAAGGAGCTTAAGCAAAGTAATCCATTCTGGATTGCTGTACCATATTTAATTCCTCTATTTAGGGTAACTGTCAGTCATCCTAAAAATATTTGACCTGACGACAAAAACAAACTCACATTTTATTTGGTTATAATAATGGGAGTGCTCATACCATAACAGCTCTTCTGCACTGGTCTTGCCAGTTTCCCATCTTTCAGGGGCAGCAACCTTTTCCCATTACAGCGGCCACTGAAATCAAAAGGCCATCTCTTGCCTGAAAGCCTTATTTGGACTTCTGAAGAGCTCAGAGCTCTGCAGTTGTGGGAACATTACAAAAACAAAGTTTTGTAGCGGTCAAGAATCCTTTCTATTTTTGAATTAGCCATCATTTATGGCCTCAATAGCTACTGAGGTTTAAAATGTCTGACCATCTTTGTCCAAAGAGTTAAGTTTCACTTACATGAGCATGATTTACTTTTTAAAATAAGAATGACAAATAGTGTGCCTACTCAAAGTCACTTGTGACAAAGTTAATTCATTAATGCAAACCCATGTCAATCCCTTTTTAGGTTTTCTGAAAATGCTAAGTTTCTTCTGGCTCATTTTTCTATAACTTTCAGACTATCAAACCAAAAAAACTTGATTTCTCTTGTATTATTACATTTTTCTTTGTAGTTATCCTAAAAGGACAAAGGCCATAAAGCCATATCAAGCTTTATTTTCTAGAAACTAAGAAAAAAATTCAACAGAAAGGGAAATAATATGTATTCAGAACAACATGTCAAAGTGAAAATAAAACTTGGTTTTTTCTCAAAAGGATTTCTATAAAAGCCTATGAGACCAGAACTTCACAGTTCAAAACTCATAGTTTTTTAATTTTTAAATCTTACTTTCTAAGTGGTGATGTATTCAAATATTTTCGATGCTGAAATATATATTTAATAATTTTTCATTTTTTCAGAGGTTTCTTCTATAAATTTATACAAAATCTCATTGTATCAAATCTGCTACTAGATTTACAAGACCGAGAATATGCTAAATTTAAAGAATCTTTTTAAAATGATTCTTCTAAAGGTTCTGGAAACAAGTCTTTTCAGATAAATCCAATTTATCACAGAAAGACTTTCTATGCTCTGTAGTATATAAGATCTGAAGACGTAACGTATCTGCCAAGTCAGTATTGTATCCAAGTATTCACAAAAACGTTCAAAGTTCGGAACTGATCTCTCTAGAAAAAAAAGCTCCAAGCATTTCAAAGCTACTGTAAATACTCCAATGTATTTCAAGTGTATCTACACAAGAAATGCTTTCTAAGAGATTGTCATTTTCCCACTCCCGTTATTTGTTAAAATATATTCTTTGATAAAGTAGTACCATGTACAAATTGAAAAAAGTGGTATCAAGACTAAAAATAACTCTCAGTTTTCTTATTGAGGCACTTTTCTAATATACTTAAAATAGCTGTGTATAGAGAAAGCAAAAATTTAAAGATATTATTTTGCTTTAAAAATTGTGAAAACAAGCTTTAATTTTAAAAGCAAGATAATATCTTTAAAGTTTTGGTTGTGAAAATATACTTAGCTCATAACTTTGAGAGCAATGTTCATTTATTCAAAGGAAGCATGTTTTACATAAAATCCAGGCATCATGGATGTGAGGAAGTATTCCTGCTCATTTCAGATGCAATCATACGGTTGTCCCTTATTTATATTTTGCTTCAAGTACATTTTCTGACCATGGGAGTTCTATGATAGGTGAGTTTGAAGAGGTACTTTCTGGTGATTACAAAAACCATGATTTTATTGTAATGCTGCAAAAACAATCCTTCCCAGTATCTCGTTTTCTTTGTCCACTTGCTTATCAAAAATATCAGTGTTCTCAATTATTTTAACAAACTCTCCAATTGATTTTTATGGGGAGCCTGTAAATAAACTCCTTCTGCTGGAGGTGAAAACATAAAAGGTGGGGGCAGGGGACAGGGAAGGTGGAGAAAGATGATACTAGAGTTGGGATAGGAGCCAAATCTTGGAAAAGCCTGTGTGCAACATCAAAGAACTTTGAGCACTGAGGGTGTCTGACTGATTTTAAAAGACTTATTGGAGGGGTTTATATCAGAGGTTCTTAATCTTTTTTTGTATAGAGATCCCTCTGAGAGTCTGAAGAAAGCTTTGGCCTCTTTCCTGTCATTTAAGTACATACACAAGGTATCAATGTGAGGGGGACTATGTTAGAGGCAGGAAGACTAATGCTAAGGCTATTGCAGAATTCTAGGCCTGACCACAAGCAGTTAATAGCACCAAAGTTTGGGGACAGGGAGGCAATGAATTCAGCAGGCAGGGTGGTTCTGCAATGCCCATCAATGGCATCCACTCAGCAGGAGGTTTTATAATATGCAGTTTAGGAATGAGGTCTAAGTTTGAGAAACAGCAGAATTATCTAAGTATTCTGAAAAAAAGGCCACTTTATATTATTTCTAGAGAACTCATTTAAAGGTCTAATGAAACACGAGAATCCTTTGCTATTCACATCTACATTATTCTCAAATTTGGAGAGCACGGAATACCACAATGTCTGAATCCATTTGGTTCCTGGGTTTCAGAAAATGAATGGTGAAAGTTCACACAGCAAAGTACTCATCAGAAGATTACCTGAATCTACCTAAATTCACGGAGCAATAGTTTTGCCAATGAGGAACACTTGCCTTTAAGATTTAAGATTTTTCACTTAATGTTATTTCTATATAGATAAGAACAGGTTCTCTTGTGGATGAAGAGTAATTTGTTCTACTTATTTTAAGTTGTATCTCATAATCCTAATGCTTTTGGGTGAGCCAATGCTTTCTAATTTTGGGCAGGACCCACTCAGAGTGCCTTATAGTCTCAAATGCAATAAAACATTGTTAAGTGAAATACTTATTAAAAAAATGCACACTGTACCAATGCATCTTGATAATTAGCTCCTTCCTTCATCTCTCCACTGCCTAAAGCTCTCACAAATTTAAGTAATCTACCATTTTTCTTGGAAGCTCTGGTAGCATAGTGGCTAAGTCACTTGCCTGCTAACCAGAAGGCTGACGGTTCAAACCCACCAGCCACTCCTCAGAAGGAAGGTTGGGCAATCCTACTTCCGTAGTGATACTGCCTCGGAAACCCAAGGAGGGGTCGCTATGAGTTGGGGCCGACTCGACGGCACACAACAACAACAACAACAACCATTTTTCTTATCACCTCTTATTTACTGTAAGCTTATAATTGTGTCTAAATTTCCTAAAATATACCCTTTCTGATAAAGATGCATGAAGATCTACTTAAGAAAAGAAGTTTTTTCTGGATTCATAGCAAAATATTGTCAGTACTTACACAAAACATAGTAAGATCTACTAACGATACAGAAATTTTTCTGGATTCATACAAAGAAATTAATTACCTGGATGACTATCTGGCCACTTGGCAAATCCCCCTACTAGACGATCTTGAGTTGATAAGATGTAATTTCTATTTTTCTCAAAATTAGTGTACTGGAAAATTTTCAGAAGCTGAAACGACAGGACAGACATCAAACTTTCCTATCAACCTTTGGTTCCAAAGTCAGATAAGTAATATTTAAATATGTTTTTCTATACCTAAGACTCAGAGCAAGTCTCTGGGGGACTCGGACACTTAAAATTAGCCAACCACATATTGTCTTGACTCACTCATCTTTTCTTTCTTTTGACGTAGGCACAGCTAAGTTCTTTGTCTCTTTAAGTCAGGCTTAAAACACAATTTTCCCCTGATCCACTCAACTCAGTCAGTCATTTACAAAATGTGTAGTTATATCAACCCATATTTTGATTCTTATTATAGGCTCTTGAGCTATTAGTTACAAACTGGTAGTAACTAGAACCAAAAATATTTTAAAAAAGAGCAACAGAAATCATTACCCAGACACTAGAGATGGTTTTGTTTGAGAATAATAAAATACTATAGCTCTTTAACTAGAAAAGAGAAAAGATGAGAGAAAATATGATAGCAATATAAAAAATTATCTAGCTCAAAGATTTAAGACATACATTTGTCTTCTCTCCCAGAATCCCACTAAAAAGATAAATCAAACTGTGGAGAGAATAAGGAGGATGGGGAGTATACAAGAGAAATCAACACATTTCTGTAAGACACAAAACAGATAAAAGTGAGTTAATGAATCAAAGAGAGCCAACGAAGTTAGCTGCAGCCGAGAATAGTAGCAGGAAATCTCTGGAGAGGTTCTAGACTACAGGCTTATAGAAATGGAGTGAGAAGGGGGGTTGAAAGCAGTGTTTTTTTTTTCTTCCTTCCTCACTCTCCTGCTCCCTTTTTCTTCCTTTATTAATGGAATCACTCCCTCATTTTCTACTCAGCAATCAAAACAAAATGGCAGTCCAAACAGACTGATGGTGTAAGGACTCACCTCTGAGAAAAAGGAACTCCATAGGCGCTTTTGGCACCTGGGGAAGACCCCCATCTTAACTGCCATCTCCCTTTCTTACAGGAGGAGTTCCAGAGATACAGAGGGAAAAAACAAGTGGAAAAAATTTAGCAATGAAATAATAGAAAAGACTCTTGTGAAGGTTGAAAGGATACCCATCTTCAAACCAAAAAGCAGAATAGATAAAAAAAAAAAACCCAAAAAACCTAAAAACCAACCCCAAACTAGGATATTCTCTTAGAATTTCAGAACAGGGATAAACAGAATTTCCAAAAAGCTTCAGGAAAGGGGAATAAGGAGGTGCTGTTAGCAAAGAGAAACCAATTGGAATTAAAATTAGTAATTTGACAGGAAGAAAACTAATACCATTAAAATTGTAAGGGAGAATGATTCTGTTCTTAGGAGACTATATCAAGCTGAATGATGATTAACTAAGTGTAAAGACAGAATAAAGATGTTTTTAGGCATAGAAGGGCTCATAAGTTTATATATCATATACAACTGTCTGACAAAGATGTTTGAAGAACTACTCAAGAAAAATGAAGTTAAAAGTCAAGATGATGAAATGGGATACAAAAAATAGTAGAGCTAGAGCTGATAATGCAGCCCTTATGCAGTGGTACCGCCATGCTGCTGGTATATGGTAAACATCTGTTCTGATTAGTTGTTCCAAGCTATACCAGATGTGAATAATATTTTAAGTATTGTTCTTGGATAGAACTCATCCATGAATCCAATGGAAAGAAATCTTAAAATGACAGTTCTAAAGTAAGCCTATAAAGTAATTCTTTCAAATTAGAACAGGATGTCATTCAACTCTAAGAAAAAATGTCTTAAAGAAAGAGAATCCATGTAATATTCAGAATGTGTAAGAAACTAACAGCAAAGGCATTCTTCTCAAAAAGAAAAAGAATTAGTTAGAAATTCCAAAGAAAACAAAATCTATTAGGAAAGCTGTAGCACAAATAAGAAACTAATAAAAGCATGACTTATTTTGAGCAATTAACAGAATATAAAGAATGAAATTCCTTAGGACTATGATGGTAAGAACATTCTACATCAAATGGCACATGGTCACTGCATAAACAGAAGATATTATAATCTTAACACTGTGCTTGGTAAGGCAATGTACAATATTTATACCATCCTAAGTGCTGATTATTGGTTTTCAACTTTTAGAATCAACTTATAGGCAAAGCATGGAAGATTTTAATTATGGTTACCAAACAGAATACGAATGTTACCAAACGTGACATTATAAAAGTAGAGACAAACTGGCATTAAAAGATAGAAAATGAGGAAAAGAAGTTCAGAACTAAAAATAATGAGTAACAATCTGCTGGAAAATAAGGAGGTTAACTCTTCATTTTTCATACTTGGGAATCAAAAATAGTATCCAGAAATGATAAGCAAGAAACAAGCATATTATTTTTAGTTACAGTGATATTTACCAAAATTAAAATAGAAAATGTTTAACAAGTGGATGTATCTAGAAAGCCATCAAGGACTAATAGGGTCATATGAAAAAGACTCAGGAGCCAATTTGAAGGGGCTCCTACTGGTTAAAGATATGACAATTTCAGCATCAAAAAGAACTGTAATGGATTAAAACATACAAAATGTGTTGAAAATCAATGAGTTCATAGTGATACTGAAAGAACCTTAATACCCAGAGAACCAATCCATGGTCCTGAACACTTAAAAAAGAGAAAGAATTAAGTATTCATACCCTATTCCCTGTACAAGCTGTATGTTTGTGTGACTGAAGGGTGAAGCTCTTCTATATAAAAGAATTCTAGCTAATACACTTAAGAAAGAGTAATAGAAACAGAATTTCCATTTTGCGACATTTAATGACATTATAGATCTATGCAATGATCCTCAATGGCTGCTGAAATCTTACAGTAAAACACCAGTGAGGAATTATATAACAGATAAATTATGTTGATAACTCTGGAGCCCTCTAATCAAAAGGAAAACCAAATATATGTCTCTTGATGTAACAGAATAGGAAATAAACATCAGAATTTACTTGATATTTGATGATACAGGTACTCCCCAACTAACAATGTATTTGAGTTATGTTGAACTCCACTTATAACTGTCTGTTTTTTATCATTAGTAGTATACACTACACATAGTATCGCAGCATGTAATTTGCTGATGTTATCATTGCCATATGTTTAATGTTATGATTTACTGTTCAAACACTGGTGTATAATGTTGCTGTTGCTGTTAGATGCCACTGAGTCAGCTCTGACTCACAGCGACCATATGTACAACAAAACGAAACACTGGTGTATATTAATAAGCTATGGAATAACAAAACAAAAACTAGGGGAAAAAAAGAGGTATTCAACTTACCTCAGAATTGACTGACAATGGAGTTGTCAAAATGGAACCTCATCGTAAGGCACAAGGGACTAATCGCAATAAGGAATGATGGCTTATTGCATAAGTATGGCTAATTATGGTATGACCATGATGCTAAGGATATGTTTTTATAAAGTTTTTTGTTTTGTTGTTGAGAGATGATACTGAAGAATTTCCAGACGATACTAAAAAAATGGTATCTGGGACTTACCTCAAAATAGTACAGGGAAAGAGAGGGAAACAGGTAGGAGAATGGATAAAGGAAGGTTGGCTTTGGGTTGTTGGTGCTACTTATAGGCATACTGGGCATTCATTATTGTGATGGTTAATTTGATGTCAACTGGCTAGGGAGGCTATGATTCCTAGTGGTTTGCCAAATATTATTAGTCCTGCTTGCTGTTCCATAATAAAATCTAACATAATATAATGCAATCACCTTCCATAATGCAATTTATCTAATGTAATCAATCAACTGGTTAACAAGGGAGTTTCCTTAGGGAGTTCTGCCTCCATACTATAAATAAATATTTTGGAAGATCTTGTTCTTTTCACTCTGTACACTTTCAGTCACCTGACCAATGGATCTTAGGATAGAAGCTTGTCGGAGTCAACCTGCTGCTTGATTTTTACATTTTGGGTTTGCTCATCCTCCAAAATTGTGTGAGCCAATTCTCTGAAGTAAATCTTTCTCTCTCTGCATATATATCTCATTGGTTCTGTGTGGTAGTTATGTTTGTGTGTCAACTTGGCTGGGCCTGGTTGAGTGGCTGGGCCACTGGTGGTAGTTAATCCCCATGATGAGAATGGCAATCAACTCCATGGTAGGATCTACCACAAGCAGCCGAGAAGCAGCCTTTGGAAATATGGTCTGCTTTCTGTATTTAAGGAGAAGTCTTGGGAATGGTCTCTAGCCCATGGCACGCTTGGACTCTGCATGTAGCCATGTTGTTGCTCAGCAGCCTGCTATGCTCTGCCAACCTTGGGACTTACAATGGACTTAAGTTAATGGCCTGCCATGTGGTTTGGTAACATTGGGACTGTGCCTTTTTACCTATGAACCTTGGGCTTCTCAGCTTCAGCAGCCAGCAGCTGTCTGAGTAAAGAAATGCGTCTAGCTCCAGTGGGCCAGGAGCAGGAGGCAGAGCTGGAGCCCAAGGTTGAGGGGGCTTTCACCCAGCCCCTAGAGCCTGGTACTTTGAACTAAAGCCTCCAAATCATAAGAATAAACTCCTGTTTGTTAAGGCCATCCCATTTGTGGTATATTTCTTGTCAGAGTGGCACTAGGTAACCAGAAGAGTTCTGTTTCTCTAGAGAATCCCAAGACAATTATATTATTTTCAGTACATTTGAATATATATGAAAATTTCTGTAATTTTTTTTTCAAAAAAGTGTACCTGAGGAATGGCACTAGACATGTACAGAGAAAAGATTTCATTTTAAATCATTCTATATTTAGTATTTGGTTCAAAAATATGCATGAATTTTATTAAAAAAAAAACTTTCAAGACACTCTATAGAAGATGAAACACATATTTTTGACTCCAGAAGATCAGAACTAAGTAATACTTGTTAAAGGGTGAAAAGGCAATTTTAAGATTAAAAAAAAACAAAACCCCAAAACTTATGGGTGTTTATAAATGTGGACAATAACCTTATGAAATTAGGTATACCAAAAGGTAACAGAGATGGAGAATCAATTTCTACTGTGAATATAACTCAGTATGTTTCAGAAGATGTGGGACAAATAAATTAATGCATAATGGAAAACCTTAAATGGTTGTTAAGGAACAAGCCATGGTTTCTCTCTCTTTTTTTTTTTTTTATTAACAATGCAGCAGCTCCCCTCCCACTTCCTCCCCATAGTTACCGCCTCCCAGTGTCCATCCCTTCATACTCTTCTGCACCCTGAGCTATCTCCCTGTGCATAAGCAGCCCTTCCTTCTCCCATGATTGTTCTCTCCAGGGCGTGTGTCTACTTGAGGTAAATGTTTAACTCACATGCCTGTACTTTTGTTTGGCTGGAAACCACAGTTGTGGGTTCAATTCCAGACCTGAAGGGCAGCTAGGGGCCAGTCTCAGTGGTTACACCAGGCTCTATTGGACCAGCAAACCTGGTCCCTGCCTTCTTTTTTTTTTTTTTTGCCTCCAAATGATTTTGAGTTTTGTACCACATTGTTCTCCCTCTTTATGCAGGATCTCCTACGTCCCTTCCAAGTGGATGGCAGTGGTAGCTGGGCACCATCTAGTTCTTCTGGTCTCATAGTTGTATAGGTTGCAGATCGGATGGTGTACCAGTCGCTAGGACTGATTGTTTCCATTAATTTTGCTTTTCTTCTTTCTTCTTGACGAGGAGAGACCCGTTGTTGCATCTAGATGGCAGCTTCCTAGCTTTTAAGGTCCCAGTCGCTACTCGCCAAAGTAGTAGGTGGAACAATGTTTTGTATAGTATGTTATGCCAATTGAGCTTGATGTCCCCTGCGACTATGGTCCCAAGCCCGCAGAATCAACTACTCGGTCCCTCTGAGTAGCTGGCTGTGACCAAGTAATGACCATAACCTTGCCCCTTGTCAGCTCTACTATATACCTGGGAATTCTGATCATTCACATGAACTTATAGGCCCATTGTCTGCCAACCCTATATATGATCTTGGATACACTCTCCATTTAGACATACCTAATTGTTTAGCTTGTTCACCCATCTATCCGTCCCTATACCCATGTTTGCTTTCACTGACAACTCAGTACTGTATATGCAAAGGGGTTCATATTTGTTGTCTGTACTGCCCATGTAACTCTCTATGTCTTTCTCATCCTCAATGCTGCCATATTGGTCACTCACATTTGGTACATTGCCCTTCTCTTCACCCAAATCAATATTTATCTCTATCTATCTAACAGTATTCCCTCCCCTCCCCTCCCACTCCTGGTAACCAACAAAGAAAATGTCCTCCAATATATAAACCTTTCCTTAACTTTTACAATACATGGTTTCTCTTTTAAGATCGATGTTGCTGTTGTTAGTTGCCCTCAAGTTGATTGTGACCCAATGTGTGCAGAGTAAAACTGCTCCATACAGCCTTCTGAGGCAACTCCGGGTGGATGTGAACTGCCATGCTTTCAGCTAGTGGTCAAGCACTTAACCGTTTGTACCACCCAGGGACTCTTTCCCTTCAAACCTTTACTAGTTATCATATTCTGACAGAGCCCTGCTCTAGATGGACAGATGATCATTTTCAATAAGAATATTTTTTATGACTTTATACATATTTTCATTCCTAGGTTATGTGTCATTTTAATTTTATAAGAATGGAAATTTTCAAGTAGCACAGAAAGATAAGTGAATTCTATGAAAAAAAAAACAGACAAGAGTAGCTTTGCCAGAGTGTTAGAAAAACTCAGTAGCCTAAACAAATAATATTTAATGCATATTATAAAGACCAATCCCTTGAGCACATTTTGTATTATCAAGGAGTACAGGTTTCTCATTTTTATTACTTCTCTTACCTTTAGAGTTGCTCCCACCCAAAAAGAATAACAGGTGTCTACAGGCTTATTAGGTCTTCCATGATAACCATTTTGTTGTCTCATTATACACCATCTCTTTATCCTGTTCAATTCCTTTTCTGAAAAAACTTCTTCTAGTTTACCCATCAGACACAGTGATGCAATGCCACAAAAAGTTGATCCTCCTGTTAATCAAAATCACACAATACTTTAAACTTAAATTAAATGCCTATGAAAAACAAAAGGACTGAGGAAAAAAGTACTTAAATAATCGTAGAAGAATAGTGAAATAAACTAATATAAATTTAAAAGTCAATCAATTTTAACTTAAAAATAATCACTCAGCACTAAGGTCTTCAACATTACCTTGAAACATGAATAAAAAAAGAGCTATCAGAAACAGTCAATGAAAAAAGCTACAGCTTGGTAGAGATTAAGGAACTTTTACAAAATTACAAGGTTTATGGCAAAGTGGAAACTAAAATCTAGGTGTACTGACTCTTTGTCCATTCATGACTCTCACCAGAGCCTGATTTAATCCCCTTAAAGACAGTGTGTTATGATTTTCTTGCTCCTGAATTGAGGTCCTATCTGCTTGGACATAAAGATCAATTTTTAAATATAAAATAAATAAGCTAAGAGCTGGTATACAGATATGACACCTAGTCAGTTCAAGGATTTTAAGGAAGAAAAGTTAAGGGAAAAAAAAAAAAGAGAGGAGAGAGAAAGAAAACATCTGGAAATAGATACACATATGTTTTAATGTTCACTATGGCAGGCTAAGTAATGCCCCCCAAATATATATGGGTCCTAATCTCTACAATCTGTGAATGTTACCTTATACGGCCAAAGGGACTTTGGAGATGTGATTAAGATTCTTGGGTTTAAGATGGAGAGATAACCCTGTATTATTTGGGTGGCTTAAATGTAATCATAAGTGGTCTTATAACAGGAGGCAAAAGATTAGACTATATAGCAAGATGAGCAAGCAGTATGATCACAAAGATTGGAGAGATACAACCACAAGCCAAGGAATCCTGGCAGACACCAGAATCTGGAAAATGCAAGGAACAGATTGTCCCCTGGGGCCTTCAGAAGGAATCAGCCTGCTAACACTTTGATTTTAGCCCCTAAAATTCATTTCACACATTTGGTCTCTAGAACCGTGTGGTAGTTAAGGTTGTCTGTCAACTTGGCTGGGCCTGGTTGAGTAGCTGGGCAGCTGGTGGTAGTTGTTCCCCATGATAAGACTGGCAATCAACTCCATGGGGGGATCTACCACAAGCAGCTGAGTGGCCACTTTAGGGATGTGGTCTGTTTTCCATATATAACAAGGAGCTTATGGCACGTTTGAACCCTTCATGTAGCTGAGTTGTTCCTAGCCTGCCATGCTCTGCTGATCTTGGGACTTTTAATGGACTTGAATTAGTGGCCTGCCATGTTGTTTGGTAATGTCAGTACTGTGCCTTTTTACTTGTCAACCTTGGCTTTGTCAGCCTCAGCAGCCAGCAGCTGTCTGAGTGAAGAAATACCTCTAGCTTCAGTGGGCTGGGAGTAGGAGGCAAAGCTGAAGCCCAAGGTTGAGAGGCTTTCACCCAGCCCTTAGAGCCTGGCACTATGAACTCAGACTTGAAGCCTCCAAACTGTAAGAGAATACACTCCTGTTTGTTAAAGCCATCCCATTTGTGGTACTTTCTGTTAGAGCAGCAAAGAGGTAACCAAAACAAACTTAAGAGAATAAATTTATTTGTTTAAAGACCCTAGGTTTGTGACTATTTGTTCTAGCAGCAATATGAAACCAATATGCCAACAAAAGTAATTACTTTCTGTGGTAGTTAAGGTTATGTGTCTACTTGGCTGGGCCTGGTTTTGAGTGGCTGGGCAGCTGGATATAGTTATTCCCCATGATGATACTGGTAATCAACTCCATGGTGGAATCTCCTGTGAGCAGCTGAGTAGCTGGCTTAGGGATGTGGTCTGCTTCCAGAATATAAGAAGATGCTTTGAGAAAGGTCTGGAGCTTTTTGGCACATGTAGATCCTGCATTGGGCCAAATCTTCATCTCAGTGATCTGCTATGTTGTCTACTGATCTTGAAGCTGTTTCTGGACTTCAACCAGTGACCCGCTGTGTTGCTTGATAATTTTGGAACTGTGCCATTTTACTTGTAAACTTTTGAGTTTGTCAGCCTCAGTAGCCAGCAGCTGCATGAGTTAAGAGAAGCCTCTAGCTTCAGCGGGTTGGGAGCAAGAGGCAGAGTTGAAGCCCAAGGTCGAGCGGCTTTTACCTAGTCCCTAGAGCTGGCACTTGGAACTCAGAGTTCTAGCCTCCCACGCTGTAAGAGCATAAATCCCTGTTTGTTAAAGCCACCTACTTGTGGTATTTCTGTTATAGCAGCACTAGAGAACCAAAACACTTTTCTCAAAATATTTAATTGCTACTCTCTAAACTACTTGTGAGGATTCTTTAAAGCAAATTTGTGCAATTTAAAGCAAAAATAATGTTTAACCTACCCATTGTCATCAAGCTGACTGTGACTCATAGTGACCCTACAGGGCAGAGAATTGCTCCATAGGGCTTTCAAGGTTATAAATCTTATGGAAGCAGACTGCCTCATCTTTTCCCACAGGGTGGCTGGTAGGTTCAAACTGCTGACCTTTTGGTTAGCAGCCAAAGGTTTTAACTACTATGTCACTAGGGATCCTTAAAAATACTCTCTACTTTGCCCAAATCACTAGATTTTAAAAATGACAACTCTAGAAGTAAGCTTGGGCCCTGTCAAGCAGAAAAACATTCTGTGCTTTTAAAACATGGGGGCGTTTGGTGTTCAGTGATGGACACCTTGCCCTCTATGTGGGAGACCTGGGTTCCATTCCTGGCCAATGTACCTTATGTACAGCCACCATCTGTCTGTTAGTGGTGGTTCCTATGTTGCTATGATGCTGAACAGGTTTCACTGGAGCTTCCATTCTAAGATGGCACTGGAAGAAAGGTCTGGGGATCTACTTCTGAAAATCAGCCAACAAAAATCCTAACGATCACATGATCAGTGCAATCTGATCTGCAACCAATCATGAGTATGGCATAGAAATGAGCAGTATTTTGTTTCATTGTGTACAGGGTCAGTCACCTATTATAGTCTGGGGCCAACCTGGTGGCAGCTGACAACAATAATAATAACAACTATATGCTAAAATTCATTCACCAGCAGGTTAGCCCCTTATCTCCACAAGTCTCTCTGCTTCACACAAATTCTAAAGTTAGTTCTAAAAAATTGAACTAACAGCAGTATGTGAGAAGGGTATTAGAGGCAGACATAAAATAAGCAAGAAGTCTGACAACAAGTAGATTAAGAAATACTATAAAAAAGCAGGCACAAGAAGAACTCAGAATATCCTTGTGGAGCTCAACAGGGTGAGGTCAATGATCCTTACAAGCTTAAAAATACTTCAAGAATATCACAACACTAAATTAAAGTACAATACTAGAGTTGCTTCTCATAATAAAGAGCTGAACTCATCAAGAATAGGTTAAATTTTATTTATTATGTCTTGGGTAAAAAAGATAGGAAAATAACCTTTTTTTTTTTTTTTTTTACAGGGATATAATACTGAAAGTATATTAAGGAACATACTAATTAAGAGAATAATATGAAAGAAAACATTCTCACCTGAAATGGTTATTTGCCACCTCAAGTTGATATGTTTCAGTTATATGGATAATATATGTAAAAAACATCAGTCATAAAACAACATTGCTAGAAGACACCAATCTCAGTTCTTCCAGGTCCAGTAAAGGTGATATTCCTAACCCTAGTTCTGTATACCATGACTTCCAAAACCAAACCAAACTCACTGCTGTGGAGTTGGATCCGACTCATAGCGAACCCTCCCTGGGTTTCTGAGGCAGTATCACTATGGAAGTAGATTGCCCAACCTTCCTTCCGAGGAGTGGCTGGTGGGTTTGAACAGTTATATGTTAACCTACTGTTCTCATAAGGCTTTACAGCTTATTTTTAAGAATTCCCATATCATTTGTATGTATCAAGTTACCTAAAAGACTCCATGTCCTCTAGACTGTATAATTTAAAATGGCCAACAGTGATATGGTTACAGATAAAGTAGAAAATCAAATAAATAGGTACACAAATAAGTATATAATTTTACACTTTAAAATGACAAGAAAAAGGCAAAGTGAGGTAAATTCATGGGAGTGGAATACTTAGATGAAGTTAGTCCAAATGGAATTTACCATTCTCTTCTGCTTAAGAAATAGAAATATTGTAACAGAAGCAAATTAGTCGAATCAAATTAATTTATCTGAACTTTTACTGAAGTAAAAGTTAATTAAAATATTGTGAATTCTGAGAGAAGAATAGTTTTTGCCCTAGCAATGTGGGTAAATCCAATTCTTTAAAAATACATGATATTTACCCTAACACTTTACTATCTTAGAGAATCACTGAGAAAATAGAACCACTATGTGTGATAATCATGGACTAATAGGGTACAATGTGTCTGTTTAGTTTTCATGACAAATAGGCTCCTGGTTAACCAGGAGCTGGAAAAGAACAATTGAATTAAATAAATAAAGTGGATAAAAGTCAATATATTAACATTTAGATCAGGGAATTAGGAGGAAAACACATAAAGAAAGTAAGATGTGCCTGGCCTTCCAGATTCCCTGCAACGTCTTGTTTACCTGTGCCAGTGATTCAGGAGGGCTGGGGTGACTTTTCCCCAATCAACTAACTACTCTTTTCAGGCCCTTTCTTTGCTAATTTCTTCCCAATTATGTAAAATCTTATTCCTCTAATAATTCCCTTCTTTTTCATAGTGGATTTGCTTCTCTGATTGAACCCTAATACAAAGATGCCTACCCTCAGTGGGCTAGTGTGAGGATGAAAGAAAACCACACATAAAGTATACAGTGAAATCTGGCAATAGCAGTTGCTTAATAAATAAGTTTTTTTCCTGTTAGCTTGTAAATGAGGAACTATAAACTAGTGACATATGGAAGATTACGAGTGTGAATGGCAAATCAAAAACAAACAAACAAAAAAAAAAAAAAAGAAGAAATTAAACACTTAAAATTCTGGATTTCTAGCTTTACTTGCGATACCAGAAGATCTGGTAGTAGTTGTTCTACATTCCTGCATAGCTACAGGCTTGGGAGGAAGGAAAGAG